CAGATCCTGTTCGTCACCCGATGCGGAGTTCGCGAATGGAAGCAAAATTTTGCGAACGGTGCTGTTCGTGACCCGAATTGTTCGTGAACAGAAGCGTTCGTGACTGTATATATTTAAGTGAATTGCGTTCCTTGTGGGGATAATGTATTGCCAGTAATGCATGATCATAATACACCTATCATTTGATGCAATTCAGTCAGGATGAGGGGAGAAGATGAAAACTTGAAAAGGAGTAGCATTCAATTACAAATAACTTCACATTTTAATTTGTAATTCAGATGTGTTTCCCCCATTGTTTTTACAACAAGGTATTGCTTCATAATAGAATTACTATTGTTTTCTGGGCTTAATTATTTCCTAATTATTTCTTCTGTATAGCTTTCCACTAGCTGCATTCATTAGCAATTTTATATGCTCTAGTCTTTTCCTCCCATTACAATAATTCTCTAATTAGTGTAAGGCAACTGCCACTCTTGGTGTGCTTTCAGGAGCCTTCTTCTGATTTCAGGGGTGGTGGTGACCTTGATTTAAAATGAGTCCTTAACAGACCCCATGGCCTAAATGACCTTTTCAGTTCTCTGCTTCTGTATGTTCCTTTTTCACATTGATGTGCTGTGCTAAAACAACATAAGTTTACTGCAGATCTTTTTGGAGGGAGGGGACCTGGAACGAGTGCTTGTGTGTTTCAGCTTAACAGTAGAAGAGAAAAAAGCCATTAAGGACAAATTCTGTTTTTAAAGTTCACAAGAAAAGATGACTGGTTGGTTAACATTAGAGATAAGCCATTATTTTGATTTAATAACATTATTTATTATTTTATTCTGTTTCAGGAACAGCATCTGTGGCTGTTGCAGGTCTCCTTGCTGCACTCCGGATTACTGAAAATAAATTGTCTGATCATACAGTACTCTTTCAGGGAGCTGGAGAGGTTTGTTTATCTATTGTTCTTTTTTCATTTCTATGCCACCTTTCTAGCAAAAGGTGGGTATTATAATATATTGCTTGTCTAGGTATTTATTTGTTTGTTTGTCTATTTATTGATCTCCTTCTGCTGGTTGGGGATGGAATTGAGTGGTTGTGTGGTTCAAATTGACAAGATGGTAGCCAGAGCACTGCAGTGCAAGCCTCACCCTGTCTGATGTCACTGTGCATGAAAAATGGGTGGGGCTTACACTGTAAAGCTCCAACTCCCAACTTGCTGATTTTGACACCCCCAACCCTACCCCCATGGATGCTGCTGGCTGGGCAGATATATTTTTAGTAAGTCAGCCCTGCCAGACTGAATCCAGCAGCCTTTCTGAAATGAGTAAAGTCTGTGGCTAGTCAGTACCTAAATAGAAATCTTATTTGAATTCCACGCAGACAAGATATAAAATATAAATATGTTAAAATACAACAGTGCATGGAGTCTAAGTGGCTTGACATGCATTTGTAGCCATATCAATGTAGGCCATTTGTTATTGACACAACAATTGTCAATAAATGGGTGCACTATTTGGAGAAGGAATGGGGCACGCAATTTGGAGAATGAGGTCTTCTGTAGCACCGCAAGAACAGGGCTCCTGCCGTTCTCCAAATAGCACCCCCGTTCTCATGAGACCTGGGGAAGACCAGAAGGCTTCCGAAGGATCACAAGAATGGGGCACGGGATGTGGAGAAGGAAAGGCACGAGCGGCTTGAAGAATGGCATGAGCAGTCTTGGGAAGAAGGCCTGGCGCGGCTAGCAGCTGATGAGGCACACCCAGCATACAGTAGGGTCAGGCCAGGTGCGCCTCATCAGCAGTAGGAGAAAAATGGTGAAGATCAGCTGGGTGTGGCAGAGCCTGTGGAGTGCAGGGTGGCAGGTGCAACTGGAACTTTGCACAATGGTGCTGGAGTGGCTGGCTGTGGTGTGGGGCTTGAGGTGGCATTTCTCAGTGGCAGCGGTGGCACTGGGGCTGAAGTAGAAGTCTGGGGCGGTGGCAGCTGGCTGAGACTGCTGAAGGCCCTGGGCCTGTACTTCAGCCCCAGCCCTGGTGCTGCCGCTGACAAGTGCTGCTGTGCAGGGCGGCCAAAAGGGCATAGTTCATGGGGGAGATCGGCAGGTGGGGGAGTTGCAGTGCCTCTGCAGTCATAAGTGTGGGTGAGCTGCCAAGCGCCCGACTTTTGATCATGTGACCACAGGGGCACTGCAATGGCCGTAACTTCAGGCATAGGTCATAAGTCCATTTTTTCAGCACCGTTGTAATTTTGAACAGTCACTGAACGAATGGTCGAAAGTCGAGGACTAACTGTATTTGTTAATGTTTGAGTTGCTTTGAGTTTCTGTGTCAGGAAACTGAAGGACTCCTTTGTTACTTTGAAAGTCAAATTTTGCTATATAGAATATAATCCTGAATATAAGGTAAACCTTTTACATATCTGCATTGAAGTACTCTTTCCTGCTTTCCTTTTTACCCTTTTAGTACTTTTACTGTGAATAAACTCTGTATAAGAGATGAAAACAAGAGGCCTTGTAACATAGTGGTTAGGTTTTCAGACTAGGACCAGGAAGAACCAGGTTCAAATCCTAATTCAAACATTGAGATTATCAGGGGCTTTTTAGCCCAAGTTCCCTCTCTGGGCTGTTGTTGAGAGGCAAATGAAAAGTGACCCCTTGAATAGTGCCTTAAGCTCCTATTAAGCAGGATATAAATGTAAAAAATAATTACATTTTTTATTTGCTTCCTTTGAACCTCATTGTTTATATTCAGATGTAGAAGTTATGTCTGATTAATGAATAAACAGGGAGCTTTTTCTTCATCATTTGTGAGACCTGGGGCATGAGATGTTTTATGTGTATTTTGAAACTGTCTGAGTCAAAATGTATCAAGCTGTACAAAAAAAAACAGTAAAACTTTGCGCCAAATTATTTTTACTGAGGTTATGCAAAAAAGAAAACCCTAGTGTCAGCATTTGTAGATGTTCCAAGCCCATATAAAAATAGGTACAGATGTTAACTCAGAACTAATGTATTGTTTAGTCTTGGTTATTTAAAGAATTCCTTTCAAATCTGAAGTAAAAATTCATTGTATGATTATTCTAAAGTTACTTTTTTCTAAGGTGAGCAAATAGCATATTCATTCTGAACTACAAAGAATAAAAGTGGCAAACTCGAGTTTCCAGTGAAAGCACATATCAAAGGGCATGATAGCCAATACTAATTGAAATGTATCATTAAGAGTTATTGCTGGTTCGAGAGCCAGTTTGGTCTAGTGGTTAAGGCTCCAGGGCTAGAAACCAGGAGACTGTGAGTTCTAGTCCCACCTTCGGCATGAAAGCCACTGGGTGACTTTGGGGAAGTCTCTCTCAGCCTCCAGTGTCAGGCTCGTGCGACAAGCCGGTTGGTCGATTCCTGTCATAACCAGCGGATGAACATTCAGTTGATCCGGGAAAAAAAAGGGACCCTGCACATGCGGGAAAAACACTAGGATGAAAAAAAATTAAGAGTTATTGCTGGTGTAGCGCTAGCTTTCTTTAAGCAGTTCACCTTTTGTTGATCTCTGTAATTTGGAGTGGGAAGGGGAAAAGACACAGTGGGAGGATATTACGGAGATTGTGTGTAAGCACTGCCAGATAGACGGGTCATTCCTGTTGCTTGTTTTAGTAGTGCACTGTGAAAAATTAAAAAAAGGAAAGCATCTATATATTCCTGCAGTGAATATTGTTGTGTATAATGAGTATGTGCTTTATACAGAAATGCAAACATAACAACCTAGAGTTGTGCATAAGCACTAAGAAGGGGGAGTGATGAACATTTTATATAAAAATTAATATGTTTACATATGTATAAATAAGTGTGTACATGGGAAGAATTGAATTGATTTCTATTTTGTGTGTGTGTGTGAGAGAGAGAGAGAGATGGATTTCATATTCTGTTATGTGTATACTAATTCTTCCTTTTCTTACTAGGCAGCCATGGGCATAGCCAATCTTCTCATTATGGGCATGGAAAAGGAAGGGATACCTAAAAAGGAAGCCATAAAAAAGATCTGGATGGTAGATTCAAAAGGATTAATTGTAAAGGTAATAGCATTTCCCTTCCTATTAGAACTACACATTATGATTTAAACTTTGCTAGGAATATTGAACAATAATAACTGAAGTAAAATACACTCAAAACTGGTATTTCTTTTCCTGTACACTTAGACGAATAAAGATTGGATACATGGGATAGTAATACTGTCACTGAGAATGTGGTAAGTTCCTCTGAAAGCCTTCTTGGAGAAAATTAATAAAAATTAAGGATGCATTTAACCTTCTATTGCAACTTCAGTTTTAAATATCTATACATATGTGTTAAGCATCATGAATCACCCTATGTTTATAGTGAACCTAAAATTGTTTATTAAAATAAGCAAAGAAATGCTGATATAAAAGATAAATTTCTGCTGATATTTTCCTTTATCTATGCCAGACCTCTACATAAACTTCAGCTGTATTGCCTCAAATAACTTTTATTGCATAGCAATAAGAGCAGAGACCATGACCTGCACGCTGTGGTTTATTATGATATCAGCAGTGGTTAGACATTCAGATTTGCTCAGAGACTTGTCAAGGCATTCTTACCACATTTCTTCCATATGTTACAGCTAAGACAAAAACATGTATATTTCAAATACTAAAATAATAAAGGGATTTTTAAAGTAATAATTTAAACATTTCTATCCTCAAAGAATATATTATCTGATTTATTTGTCTTCTTGCTTACAGTAGGTTGTATTGGAAACAAAACATAAACCTAGAATTCCTCTTGGATTTCCATGCTTCTCTTTCAAAGAGAAATGCCAGTTCATATGATCGATTAATGATTTATGTTACTGTTACCTGCATGAAAGTGCATATCACTCAGCTCGGATTATATAACTGCTGGGTTGAGACAAATGAAACTTTGAGTGAGATAGATTTTCACATGAACTTATCAAATTGGAAGATATTTTATTATATACTTGATTTCTATCAGGAAGATTTTCTTGATAATATTCTGGATAACTGAGATATGCAAAAGGATTTATGTAACTACTGTTATTCAGGCAAGATTACTGTAAGGATATTCAATGTAAACTTTATCAACTTTACACTGCCACAGAATGGACCTCTAACTATCCATCTATTAGCATCCATAGATCTAAGTTTGTTGTTTGTTAATTGTGCTTTACTCCCTCCCTTTTACATTATAATTAATAGTACCTTATCTCTTCCAGATAAGTAGGTTCACACAATAATGCAGATAAATTGCTATCTACCAGTTCATTTGTTAATTTTGATGCCTATGCTATGCTAGACAATTTTGAACTGAAGGAGCAGAAATACTGAATTTATCTGTATCTAATTTGTTATCCCCCCCCCCTCCTCCTCCTAATAAAGGGTAATGGCATAACAGGATTGGAAGGCCTCACTAAAACCACTAACTAGAACACCATCAGATAAATTACAATATTTCATGGAGTGGGGTGATTGAAGAATTTTCCATAAACTGTTATTAACTAATGACCAATAGTGGAAATTCTGCAAACAAATTCTGGAGTGATTAAATAGTGGAACCAATAGAACAAGTAAACCAAAACGTGTAGTTCCCCCTAAACATGTTAAGGAGTAATTTATGGTTGATCCTCAGAAAAAAAAAAATCATAGGTTAAGCTGAGTTAATTATTGAGGGCACTCAATGAATTTTGTGTCTGAGTGAAGATTCAAAGACAGATCTATCCTATTCAAAATCAACAGGCAGTCCTCTTCATCAAATAGACTCATCTTATTTCACTTATTAAATTATTTCATATTACATGGCAAAGGGATTAATCAGGATGTGCATGAGGCCAGACCTTGGTTTCAGTTTCATATAATTTTTTTATTAAGAATTTTTATTATAATAATGAAATCTAATACAAACTAAACTTAAAGAAAGAAAATAGAATAGAGAGAAGGAGTAAAAAGTGCAAGGAAAAAGAAAGAAAAGGAAATGAGAAGAAAGAAAAAAGAAAGAATATAATAAAAAAAGAGAAAAGAAATATGTAAAGAAGTGACGGAACTTTCATCACAACAGGTATGTCTGAGGAAGACATTATAACCCAAGGCGCTCTTACCATTTCCTAGAGAGTTTGTGATTTAAAATGGGCAACGAAGAATATTAAGTGGGAACAGAAGAGGAGCATTTTAAGTGGAAGTGGCAAAGAAGGATTGCTGCCATGTGCTGTAGCTGAAGATGGGCCGCTAACTAATTGGCAGAGGCTCTGCAAACAGCATGCACATCCAGGGTGCTTAGAGTCTAGAGCAAGAAAACAGGAAAGCCAATAAGGAGTGGGAGTTGAAAGTTGAGGGGTGACTAAGTTTAGGGTTAGTTTCAGGGAGAAGGTAAGATGGAAAAACATTAGCAAGTGACAGAGAAAAGGCCCATCTGCTCTATTCTTCCTTTACCTCAGCCTTTTGCCCTGAAAGTAGTATCAGCCATGTGGGGAAAAATCAAATAATGAAAGAAGGAAGTAGTTCCAGTTAAAGGGAGGATAAATTGCATCTAAAGCATTATGGAATTTGTAGATGTAATCGCAGAGTTTGTGCAGGCTTTTTTCAAAGGTGGGCAAATGTTCTCCTCGTGTTCAAAGAAGACAATAAACTAGGTCCAGGCAATTACTGACAGTTTTTTTGTAACAGTATCTGGAAAGGCTTTAGAAGTCCGTAAGTAGTGTGTGAGCACTTAGGAAAATTTGCTGAGGTAATGGTAGACTTTTTTGTTTGTTTATTTGTGCCTTCGAGTCAGTCTTGACTCCTGGCGACTGCCTGGACTAGCCCCTGCAGGTTTCTTGGCAAAATCTCAGAAGTGGTTTGCCCTGGCCTGCTTCCCAGGGCTGGGGGAGAGGGACTGGCCCAAGGTCACCCAGCTGGCTTCGTGCCTCAGGCAGGACTAGAACTCATGGCCTCCTGGTTTTTAGCCTGATGCCTTAACCACTACACCAACCTGGCTCTCAACAGTAGACTAGCAGAAATTATTTAGACATTTGTTAGATTTAACAGTGCAGTGAAGAGAAAAGAATAGACTGAATCTGACAGAAACAGAAATGCTGTTGACAATTAAAATATTTCAGCATTTTTTAAAAAAAACAAAAATATTTAGGAACCAGTAACACTGCTAACTCCCACTGACAGCTGCTGCAGTATTACCAAAAAATAAAGTAAAATAAAATAAAATCAGCCATATTAGTCACCCAATCACTTTGTACTGAATCTGGTCTTCATGAGCATGCCAAAAAGCAGCCCAGACTGCCACAGTCTTGACAGATTGTACGTTCTCCATCCTGATCACAGGGACCAGATGCAAGTATTTCAGAAGAGTTTGCAATAATAGTCCCAGTGAAATGCTGAAAACTCGTGTATGTTCATTTTAAACTCCAATAATTCAGTCTCTAACAAAAGAAAAGGGGAATGAACAATAGTTAAATCCTGCCCCCCAAATAAATCAAGTGTGAGTCAAGAAAAGCTGGCATACTGGAGGTTTCGTTGCTAGCCACATGTCAGAACTATGCAATCTCTTGTGGTCTCCCTGCCACTGATAATATATTGCCTTCCGTTCTATAAATAACAAGACTTGTGGTTGCTGACCGGGAAGAAATGGAGAAAGAGAACAAATGCAATGATGTAATTTACACCATGGCAGAAACCTGGCAAGTTTGTGTCTGTGTGTGTATATGGTTATTTATAGCATAACATACTTGTGCTGGGCCTGCTTTAAAACCTTGATATTGCATGGTTAAGCCTTACATATCCAAGTATGTAATACATACATGATATATCTACAGGTAGTCCTCAACTTATGACCACAATTGAGACCAGAACTTCTGTCGCTAAGTGATGTGGTCATTAAGTGAGTTGTGCCTGATTCTATGACCTTTTTTCCCATGGTCATTAAGTGAATCACATGGTCATTAAGTGAATTCAGCTTCCCCCATTGACTTTGCTTGTCAGAGGCTCCCTGGGAAGGTCACAAATGGTGATCGTGTGACCCTGGGACGCTGCAACCATTGTAAATAAGCGTGGACTGCCAAGTGCCCGAATTTTGATCATGTGACTGCAGGGCCGCTGTGATGGTTGTAAGTGGGAGGACCAGTCATAAGTGACTTTTCAGTGCTGTCGTAACTCTGAATGGTTGTTAAATGAATGGTTGCAAGTTGAGGACTACCAGTGTATCAAATGGAAGAACAGACATTTTTTTCAAGGAATTCCAAATGAATTGCTGCTGCAAGCCGTCAGAACTATTTCCCTTCAACTGTATATATGATTGCATATTTCCCAGACTTTTATGTATTCAATTTAACAAAGTTCTATCTCTCTGCTTCGTTTGAATCACGGTGGCACTTAGGATTTTCTATGATTTAGGTCCCATTAAGAATTCACATTTATAGTTGAGGGGCAAAATTGTTGAAGGCAGGAAAACCCTTCTTTTTTCTCCAGAATTATTTGGGATTAGGTATGCTTTCTGTGTAGAGGATAACTATCCTCCTGTCAGTTGGGTCCTCCCACACAGCTGCAGCCACAGCTGAAGCAGATTCTGGTTCAGACAGTTTCCAGACCTGAGGTGATGCATGCTGTCCTTGTGAGTCAAACAATCCTCTGCTGTCAACTGAAGGAACTTGGAGAGTGTCCAGTCTCTAGGGGAAAATACAAGATAGCCTTGCTACAAAGAGATCAGGGGGAAAATGGTTTTTTTGGAAGGTTTTGCAAGCAGGGAGGTAGCATTTAATATTTTTCTCAGATGGAAAAATCTAAAATGGACAAATAGCTATTAGTTGTGTGGCCAGAGCTTGGGGCACAGTAGGCAACATGCCTTCTGCCAGCCCACATGTATTTCTTAGACCTCTGTCTTCCAGATATTCCAGCTGCTCACATTCTCCCCTGTTGGGAGTCTTTCTATCTCGCCTCCATGCTTTCATACCCTCTCCATGTACACGCACAATGATGCTGGCATATTTTCTTTCTCTGTGTCCTCTTACATTTTGAAAGAGGTGGCGTACATTACAAGCAGAGCAAAGCTGCAGCATATGTTTCAAAAGGCCTCTAAGAGAAGGCAGATGCAGAGGAAGGCAGCCAGAGCCTTGTTCAAGATATGAGGGAGAATTGAAGAGCTTTGTGCCTGCCACTGGCCTGGGCTTAATGGCATCCCTTATGGATACAACTAGACTTTGCAACTTGTGTTGGTGTTTTTATTCATTTATTTTTTTAGACTTAATAATACAGGGAAAAACACATTTCCCTCTTAATTCTGATTTTGGTTTGATCATCCCGAAATGTCATCATAGCCATGACATTTGTGAGGGCTTTGCTTGGTGGGAGAGGACCCAAGGATTCTTCTGAGACCTCTCTGTCTGTATGCTGCTTGATACAGGAAGTGAAATGCCATCTTCCTTTCCATTTACCAATCAGTACAATGCGCAAATGTTATGCCCTAGTAACATCTACTCCACTCAGGTTGAATTTACATAACCCATTTGCAACTTGTTTATGTTTTGTTACATCATCACCAGGCCCAGAAAACTAGTTGAGTTCTGTGAGGATAGCCTTTCTACATGTATTTTGATTAGGATGGTTTCTAAAATGCATCCTTCTCTTTCCCTTAGTTTGGGAAATTCTTAATTGCATTTCATCAAACAAACTTTGGAAAGTTTTCAGTGCCACTGAGTTCAGAGTATACCAGGAATTTCAAGGACTACATTCCCCTCAAAATTTCTGACTATGCTTCCAAACATGACATAAATGCTTGGTAAAACTCTTTGACTATAATGGTCATTTAATGGATGCCATATGTTTTGCACTTAGCAAGTATGATTAAGCTTACTGATGAGAAGGTCAAAGTAACACTAGTATGTTTTTAAAAGAAGACTGAGCCTTTTCATTAGAATACAGAATAAATATAAAACTGTAATCTTTTTTAACTTAGGGTCGTGCTTCATTAACATCTGAGAAAGAAGTGTTTGCTCATCAGCACGAGGAGATGAAAAATTTAGAAGACATTGTTAACAAAATAAGACCAAGTGTTCTTATAGGTAATAAACTATCTATATGTCAGTTTATCTAAGTTTGCCCTTTTGTTTGATATTTATGTCTGTCTATCTACGTGCATGCGCGTGCGCGTGCACACACACACACAGAGGATGTGTTTAAATTTTAGAGAAATAGGTACAAGTATCTGTTGAGAATATTATTTCCTAATAGTGATCTATGTGCACAAGAACAAATACAGTAAGAATATGCTGGAAATTCTCATAGCTTTGGGAACTAAGTGAGGTTATGGAGATTTCTGAATTATACTGTAAGTAATGTATGAATAGCATATGACCTCAGATGTATTTACATACTAAATAGCTAGGTTTTAGGCTAGGTCTGTTCTATGAATTTGCTCCCTGAGTCATATTAGAATAGTCTCCAATCATTCTTTTTCTCTCTTTAAAATTCTATGCTAGGAAATAGACTAAAACATACAATTTTTTGTAGAAATATTTCTGCAGTGAACAGATCAGATAAATTATTTTGTATCCAATACTATGTAATGCTCAGTGCTGAATATGAAAAGGATATATTTCTTTGAATGTTGTATTTACCTAAGGGTTCTGCATAAGCAAGAAAGACTGATCAGATGTCATATTCTTTTTCCTATTTGGATGATTGTTTAAAACCTTTCCTTGAATAGTTGGGATCACTAAATTATCTGATGTTTCCCCAAGTTTTTCATTAAACTCCAATCTCAGCAACAGCCATATATGGAATATTACTAGACACTACTCAGGAAAATGACTTGTTATTGTTGGACCAAGAACAGAAACAATTATTTTAACAAAACTAGCCATAAAGCATAAATGAGATTATGTTTTCTAATTTATTTTGCTGTGGCTTGGAGTGATTGTCATTTGTACCATTTGCTTTTTAAAAACTAAATTCACATTAAGTAGTAAAAAAAAGTAAGACAGTAACTTTTGGTAAGACCAATTTAAAAATATGGGGAGCTTTGAACTTCACATTCTTTAAGAGTTCTCAGTTGTCAGAGCAAGGAGAAAAGAATAAAGGAAGATTATATGTTCAAGCTGGTGATACTTTAGCTAAGGCTACATAGCTCTTTGGGTCTGTAGCATCTGCTTATTAAACGTAATGCACCTTAATTTAATTTTTGTCAAAGGCAATGTCCTGATTTGAACTTTTTTTATGTTATGACATTACTTTTCCATTTTGCTTGAGCATTCATACAGTTTGTTCTATTAAGATGTTATGCAAAGAAACCAAGATCCTGATGAGATATATTTGGCCTTCTACACCTATCATCTATCTCAATCTCTCTTCCTTTCATCTTACCTTTTTCATTACCATAGACCCAGGATAGGTATATGCAAATATTTCATAAATTGATTTAAGAAACCTTAAAACATATGGTTTTAAAAAATGAAGCCAAAATTTTAGGACTTATTGTTTTATAACAATGAAACAGATGTCATTTCCAACAACACATTTAATAATTGGACTCATAAGGTCAACTACAACAGATAAGAGTAGAGGAATTGTTCTTGCAGAATAAGAGTTTGGATATTGTCTACTTGAAAGTTGTCATTTGCTTCTTTCCCCTTCTCTGAATCACATTTCCAAAGCAAACGTGGAAAAAAATATATTTATAAAGCAGATTGATGAAAGAAATCTCTATGTACATTGGAAAATGTTCCTTCTAGATGAATCCAAAAGATAAAAATATGGGCCAAAGAAAGGTATCAAAGTATCAGAATGGTTATAGAAGAGCAATCTCTTCAGATAATTGCAATTCTGTTCCAAGTCTATCCTGTGAAAATGAATTATTTCCATTCAACGAGAAGGGGAAAAAAGGATGAAGATGACTTAAAAAAAACAGCAATGGAGATTAAATAATGATATTATCTGGTTGTCTCATGAAATTTTCATAATTAACCAAGCACATTGCTCATTAAAATCTTGTCTGAAAATAGCCAAAATTGTAACCATTTCAGATTCTGAAGTTTAATGATCCATTAGAAACTTTCCTTGCATCAGTTTCCTTGAAATGAAAGAATAGCACAAAATAGTTTAAGAACCAATATTCCAATGAAAATATGTCAAGAATATCTCAGAATACTTTATTCATGAGAGAAAAAATGTGCTTTTTGTTTTAAAAAAAATCTTCCCTATAAGAACTTCTATTCTTCTCAATGGGAGAATTTTATTATTATATTCAGTGAAACATCTTAGTGAAAATAAAGAAATAAGTTGGGCTTGATTTATGAAAACCTGTCTTTCATTAGGGGAGCTATGACATTTGTTCAAGAATAAACTGATTTTGGAAAACACCATTTTGGGTTTTATACTCTCACAAAGCAATTTACAGAAAACATAGTGGTGTTAAAAAAATGCCTATATCAAAGTTGCCTCATTCACTACAGCCTAACCCTTCTTATTAATTTCCTGATCTCCTCTTCATATCAGTGGTAAACATACTGTGATGATGATTAAGATGATGATAATGCCATATGTGGTGAATGTAGCTAATTTAAGATGGCACTTCTGCCTGTCTTGTCATTTTATCTTTTTAAAATGTGGAGTAGAAATAAGTAAAATAATTTTTCAATACCTCTGCAGAACAATCTTTTAGAGTAGTGTTTCTCAACCTTGGCAACTTTAAGATGTGTGGACTTCAACTCCCAGAATTCTGGAAGTCCACACATCTTAAAGTTGCCAAGGTTGAGAAACACTGTTTTAGGGCAATGGGCAAATATTGTACATTCTGTAACATTCTGTTATATTTCTGTCTGGCATAGGAGTTGCCGCAACTGCTGGTGCATTTACAAAACGTATTATCAAGGATATGGCTTCCTTCAACAAGCGGCCAATAATTTTTGCGCTCAGTAACCCAACTAGCAAAGCAGAATGCTCTGCTGAAGATTGCTACCACCTAACAGAGGTATTGGGGGGAAGAGAATTATATTTAAATTGATTATACTATGTGTTGGTACGTTATTTATGTATATATTCACACAATTGTCTCTGTGCATGTATTTATCCTGGCAGTTTTCAGTCAAGGCTTATTTGTGGGTGTCTTTAGCAATATTTCTCCATAATTTTAGGTTAAAAGGGAACCCAATTCCATTGGGAATTGAGCTAGCATTTCAGCAAAGTTACATGGCCAACATTTCAATTTATACAGGATTTCATGTATATTCCAGGATCTAAAATAATATATTTCTTCCCTAATAATTGTCACTAGAGAAAGAAATAAAAACTTGTAGCTATTTTAATGATTTAGAGAGGTGTTTTAGTAGCATTCCTGTGTGTTGCAAAGCTCCTCAGAATTGCTCTACCACAACAATTGCCTTTTACTGCAAAGTTTCTAGTTCAGATTTGTAACATAGAGATTGCTGGTATATATAAAAATTGAGAGTAATTATTTAGTTAGATTTTACTAGGGATTTACAAAACATTTTGGTGTTCAGAACAGTTGTTTTGGGTGATCCATGCCTGAACCAAAAGGCATTTGTCTGTGCAGGGAAGAAAACAGGAATGTTTGAGCAGGATAGGACATGCCTCACTGGGATGTTGATGACAACTAAGGAAAGAGTAGGAAGGAAAGTACTGGGGAGTTGTCGGGGGAGGGGCTAGGCCAGTGAAATATGCCATGTTAGGGTATTGAGACCAGGGCTGAAGGAAGGAGGGAAGGCTTGGGGGAAGTTCAGGGGTGGGTGGACTGCTGGGACATTCTCAGTGACTGAGAGGAGAGACGGAGTGGCTGTGCTGGGGAGATGGGGGTTGGACGGGCAGAGCGATCTGCCACATTGGGACATTAGGGGGAGGATGGTATTAGGAAGATGGAGATAGGGGCTGGTAGGATATGCTAAGCTGGGAGCTGTGGAGAGGGAACGACATGCACCAGCCTTGCCCTACCTGCCTGAGTTAGACTTTGTTTGACCCAAAATCTGGAGTAGCCAAAGGATTCTGGGCTTTAGTTCTAGAGACCCATGGCAGGATCTCTGGAACATATTCTGGGGTTTGAAACAAAATATTTTCCCTGTCCCTCCCCTCTTTATGTACATCCCTAGATTTTACCAGTTCTATCAATTTAGAACAAGCAGTTAGAATAGAATTAGATATAAAAATGAATGCAGGCCATATATTTTCTATGTTGTGTCATTATTTTTCCCTAGAATTCAAGATTGCTTATTATTTCTATAAATAGGTACAAAATGTAGCATGTCCTTTTAGCTTACTGAAAAGTGCACATGCAATATGGTAATGGAGCAGGAATGCAAATATTTTTTAAGCAGATAGAACATGGTTCCATCTGGTGACCAGAAGACCTAAAGATACACCAGGATTTCTAATGTTCCATTAAAACATATAAAACAAGCTATTGTAATTCTGCATGACACCAAGATAAATCATATGTTTTAAATAACTGGATGACGTTGATGTTTGTATTGTATCTATGTTTGCAGTTCTTTAATTGAACAAAACTCTTTTTTTTTTAATTAAGATGACAATTGTATGGTTATTCACACAGAAATAATTGATCTTAGTGGGATTTTTCAATAAACCTGTATAGGAGTGCATTATAAAACTTAAGATGCTGAGTTTGTTTCAGTATGAGCAATTTCACACACACTGAATGAAATGTGTACTTGTTCTCAGATAACAGTATGTAGCAAATGAGTTAAGTAGATTTTTTGGACTTGTGTTCACTTTTGCAACATTTTTATTGTAACATAGCAGTTATGAACAAGAACAGCTTTAGAAAGATGTAAGGGTATCACCTCAAATTAAGATGCACAGATTCAAAAGAGAAGGTTTAAAAGTTGTGTAGAAGATAGAATTTCACCAGGTGCAGCTTGTCATGCAGACTTCCTACGATAAGAGACATTCAACATACATACACATGCACAGACAGAATCATCACAACACTCAGCCACTCAGCATTTGGAAAAATATGTATTTCGTTCTCCCAGAAGTTTTTTAAAAAAGGTGAATGAATTAAAATGTATAAAACATATGAAGTTCATTCTTGTTATCTATAGTTTAGCAGATGTAAACATTATGGTAAAATTATAGAAAGATTTCAAACTAATCTGAAACTTGCCAAGGTATCAGGGAGGAACCAGAGATATTTATATAACCTCAAATAATAGTTCTTCTGCTCTTCACATAGTTCCTAATATAATCACTTTATAAAAGCATTGCTATCTACATGAACATTTCACTGTATGTCCATCTTTCCCCATCAAACAACACTTTGCAATACTACTTTTGTTTTTTTCAGGGGCGAGGCATTTTTGCAAGTGGAAGCCCTTTTGATCCAGTCACTCTTCCAGATGGACGCACGTTTTATCCTGGACAGGGGAATAATGCCTATGTGTTTCCAGGAATTGCCCTTGGAGTTGTTTCATGTGGAGTGAGACACATAAATGACGACATTTTTCTCCTTACTGCAGAGGTATTAACTATTCTTTTGTATATATAAATGGATATACAGGTAGTCCTCACTTACCAACTGCCATGTTTACTGATCTTTTGAAGTT